CCCCCCCCCCTAAAAAAGTCAATTTTGGTCAAATCCATCAATTTTGTGATTCATAGCTCATTAGATAGAGCTAAGTGTCTACTTTCGAATGCACTATAGTTTATTGGTTTTATGATGAGTTTTAAGGATATTACATAGGTTTTTCTGAACCCTCCCACAAAAGAAAATAATTTTTTTTTAAACTTTGATTTTCAAAGTCTTCCAAGCTTCTCTACCGTCTTTTAACAGTGATGTACATAGTTGTCGTGCAGCGCTATACACGATAATTGAATAGAGCATTCGAACGTTAAAATTCACAGAATGGAATGAAACTACTATGCATTGATTCATAACTACATCTACATTGGTAGAGTAGATATTCAAAAATTTTTGGGTATTATTCCACCAATGTAAAATAGGCTGTGAATCACTGTTTACTTGCTTGTTTTTAAAAACAAGAAAAAGTATGAACTATAATGTCTTATTTGTGATCGTTGCACTATATTTTTAGATAGAAATTCGTGTTCTACTCTGTTCGCACTAGTGATTTTTATTATTACTCATTATAAAAACTTTATATATTAGTGTATCAAGATTAGAAAAAAAATTAATGGGTAAAGTAAGCATTCGGCACAAAAAAAAGAGTACAAGGTCCATCATGAGACGGATTCGCTCGAAGAGTGTAGAGCCCAAAACAGTTGATTCATCATCAGCTAGCAGTGATGAAGATTCAGTCATGTCGGTTCAAAATCAATTTACATCAAGTACAGATAATGCTGATGATATGATGAATTTTTATTTAATTATTCATATGCAATCTTTGATCTTATTGCTGAAACAAACTTTATGTTCTGAATGTAATAATTATTGGAATGGATCTGCGTCGATCAAGCAAAGGGATGGATTATATATGCATATTGAATTCATGTGTTCTAATTGCAGGTTCATCACTCATTTACATTCATCACCACAAATACCGAATACTAGACGTCGAGAAATTAATATTCGATTAGAAATTGGTGGTATTTTGTGTGGTTTAAGTCATGGTGGTGTAATGAAATTTTTAGGTGCTTTAAATCTACCACCACCAGTTCAAGAACAGAGATATAGTGAAGCACAACAATTTATCTGGAATTATGTAACAAAAGCTCAAGAAGAATCAATGACTGCTGCTGTTGAAGAAGCAATCGCCGAAGGTGGTGGTATGCGAGAATTAACAGTAAGTAGAGATGGTGCGTGGCCTACACGTGGTTATTCGAATGTTCATGGAATTGCAGCTCTATGCTCAACAACAAGTCATCCAAAAAATGTTCTAAATGTCAAGGAGCAGAGAGTCTGCGTTATGCAAATCCTGATTTATTCTTGACTTTTCAAGAAAATCATGATTGTCAATTGAATTATGCAGGTAGCGTCATATGTATTATAAATTATCTTATCATGAAAATCTCTTTATTTTAGGATCATCAGGTGGAATGGAAAAAGAGATGATTCATGAGATGTTTTGTCGATCATTACCAAAATATAATATCAAATATACTTCTTATATCGGTGATGGAGATGCCAAAGTGTATAAATACTTGGTGGATAATCCTCCTTATTCTGATGTGAATATTAAAAAAAATCGAGGATACGAATCACTTTACCAAAAGAATACTGACCCGCATTATGAAGATCAAGAAAGAAAATGCAAATAAAATTTTATCTGATGGTAAAAGATTTAGTGGTAAAGGCCGAATGACTGATACAGAAGCTGTTAAATTTAAAATTTACTTTGCCAAAGCAATACGTGAAAATAAAACTGATTTGAATAAACTTTATCAACGATCATGGGCAATTTTTAAACATCATTACTCAACAGATGAACAACCTATGCATGAGTGGTGCGATTTACGGTGGTGCAAATATCTGCAAGCAACAGCAAATGGTGAAAAATTTAACCACCATTCGCAAGTATGTATTCCACGTGCATGTTTAGATATGATCAAGCCGGTGTTCGATGAGCTATGCACGCAAAATAGTTTAGCACGTGTGATAGGTGGTGGTTCTCAAAATGCCAATGAATCTTTCCATTCGTTATTGTGGACAATAGTTCCAAAGAATCGTTATTGTTCATCGATAAAGCTTCGTATTGGATTGGGCTTATCAACAATTATTTACAATGATGGTTATGAGTCATTGAATAAATTATTGACAACTATTTTTTCTTCGATGGGTCATTATTCTGCTGAGTGTTTTTATAAACTCGATGCAATGAGAAAATCTTCTGCTTCAAAAAAAAAAAACGTGTGAAAACATCACAAGCAGCAGCAGCAACCACTACTAGTATTTCTTCAAGCGAGAGTGATAATGAAAATTTTCACACTGTAAATGAAGAAAATTTTGATGATATCTCACATGATTTAACCATATTTGAACAAATGGAAAGTGATCAAGATGAATATGATGATAATAATGATTATGAACCAGGAGGTGATGATTGATTCTCGATATATTACCATCATTTGTTTTAGATTTTTCATTTTTCTTAACTTTAAAGAACTATTTTCTGCATTACATTGTTATTTTTTTCTGCTTGTCTTTCAGAGAAACTCATGTGAAATTTTATAAACACTACTTCTATGTAGTATTGGTATCACTTCATTCTTTCATTAGTTATTATCTTCTTATTTCTTTTTTTTTTTACTTTGGCTAGACTAGTTAATAAACTTTTTTTAAATAACATTCTTAATCATGATGATTACAACATGTTTTGAAATGTTTTAGATAATTTGAAAATACTGCTTCTACATGATGTATATTTATTTAGATGGATTTACAGGTTTTTTGACAGGTGATTTTTGTTGACATCTCGGTACACGTAATATGCCCATGTGAAAACGAAAAAAAGTTGTCTTGAATATCTTTATATATGTTCATTACATTCGTTCTAATCGTTAGTCTATGGTAAATTATTCGAAGATTTTTTTAATATTAGTTTATGAGTGGAAAAATCTTGATTTTCAGTCTGAAAACTTATTTTGCGTTTTTCTCATAATAGAGTTTTTGATTTTGACGTTTCCGTGCATCCCAGATTTCTCCGCCATTTTAAACGCTAGAAAGCTGGGCTTGGTGTCAAAATGAAGGCAAAAGTTAGCTCTACAACTTAAAAGAGCCGGATTTTTTTATTTTGCCCTTAATATTTATTGAAAACTAACTGTTCCAAACCTATACCCCCTGGGTTTTTCGTATTTTACCAGAGAAGTCTTCTAGAAACACAAGCTAAGAAAAAAACAAAAAATCGGGCCCTGTTAAGTTGTAGCGCCATGTCTGGGCTACATTTTAAAACCAACCCGAACTTTCTAGCATTTAAAGTGGCGGAGAAATTTGGGACGCACGGAACCCTAAATTTTGACCCATAAGCTTAAGCTAGCTCTTCGTACACTCAATATATCGAGCTGAAATTTTTACTGTAAGGTACCTAGCCCAAGATACACCTCCGCTGAAAATTTCATCAAGATTGGATGCTCAGAAAAAAAAATTTCTTTTAGGGGGGGGGCCCTTAATGACATTTTCATCATTAATAAACGACTTTAGCCATTGTTGAACATCAGCTTAATTCATATTCATTGACTTTCTACTTGAATAAAATAATCAAGCTCAAATTAAAAAAGAGAACAAGTCATTATTTTAAATATGATTTTATAAAGCAAATCTATTTATAAATCATGATTATAAGCAACACGTTACTGTAATCTATTTATCAGTACATTGCTCTGTAGAAAAAAAAAGTAACTTCAACTCGACAATGAAGAAGTTATTTATTCAAAGAGAGCATAATGAAATTGGTAACAAAAAAAATCTAATTTTCTGCACGGAGAACAAACGCTACACGTTTCTTTTCTATTTGATCAATGATAACATAGTATTGACACTATGATAATAAAATTTTTCATTAAAATTCAAAATCATGAACATAAATAGTAGAACTAATATATCTTTAGAATTTTTTAACAAAATTATTATCGACTGCTAAGTATTTTAATAGAATGATGATTTATTTCAGATCTATTTCTAAAACAAATAGCTCGTAAACACCTTCAATCAACTAAATCAATAAAAAAATTCGTTCTGTCTTCGTATTTTATATAAGTAAAGACATAACATTCATCACTGTCGACAATTTTTGCGTGAGTAATTTATAATAATGTACCGCGAAAAAAGGAAAAACGATGAGAAAATACTTCTGTTCAATTATTCTAAACCTTTTTTCAAAAACACAAGTTCTTTCCAAACCATTTCCATCAAGCCTTCACAAGAAGTGCTATATAAACGCTCTTTTTTTCAAAAGCTTTTCGCGATTCTTATTTTCGATGAAACATTGAAAAGTTCTGCGGAGCATGAGGATTTTTTCGTTACTCAGCATCATCAAATAAAATCTTTTCGTCTTTAGTATCATCGTAAAAAACCTTTTGAAGTTCCGCATTATAGGACAGAACTTTGTTGATTCAGTATCATTCAACAAAAACATCTATGTGGTTCAGCATTGATTGGCAGAACCCTTTAAGATTCGATATTTTTGGATAGAATCCTTTTGGTTCAATAAAATCGAACGCAGAAGTCCGTAAGGCTCAGGAATTAATTAACAGAACCTTACGTGATTCAGTGTTGGGAGACA